CCAGCATGCTGGGATCTGTGGTTGGGAGTGTGCTGGCTGGTGAATTCTGGCAGTTGGAGTCCACCCATCTTAAAGTGGCCAAGGTTGAGAAACGTGTCACAAGCATCTCATGCAGATGACCGTCCGGCCTTGATTTGAAGACTTCTAGCAAAGCTGAATTCACGGCTTGGTGTGACAGCTTACTCCACTGGCCGAGAGCCCATACAGTCTCCCTCACTTGATATGGCATTTCTGAGTTTCAGAAGGGAAGTATCTTATTTACCTGGAAACAAAGGCAAGATTCAATCTGTTTTTTTCCCCCCCAGGGCAATCAGATTTTCTACCTCTATCTAGCTTTCGTTCTTACCTCCCAAATACATTAAGATTCTAGCCCTCATGGTTCTGATTTAGAAGACTGGTTTGGAAGTCCACTTAATTTGGTATTCTCTTCTCTGGCATTCCTGAACTCTGCTTCACTGGAGGCTGGACGGTCGTCTGTTGAGAATGCTGTAGTGATAGATTCCTTCTAATCCTGACAATCTTTAATTATACTCTATACATACCACAGACAAATCCTCATTTCACTGTTCTTTTCCTTTTATAGTATAGATTGAAAAACTTGCCATCCAATTTTGTCTTTATATATCTATTTTCCTTTTTTTAAAAAGTCTCAGATGGGTGGGAATTGGCAGTGGTGTTGGAAAGCTCAGAGGTTGTATGTGGTCTGCAGTTGCCTTCCAGCTTTACTCAATGCCTTCTGGCATTCTCAGCATGCTGCATTAATCAGGGTGGAAAAAAAATATCCTGCATTTTCTTCCTATCAATTCTCATTCAGTTCAATGAAAGAGAATTTACTTTAGAGATTTCAATATTTCTTTCAAAGAGAAGAGAATCATGGATTCTCACAGATCCTCCTGCACTTGCTTGGTGAGATGGTGGCTAAGGATGTGTGTGTGAGTGTGTGTCGTTATATAATCCACCAGCAGTCTATAGCCTCCCTGGCTTCCCGTATTTCCATTTAAAATCAAGAACCGCACCAGGGGGAATTCCTCAAAGAATCACAGAACGTACAAATTGAAAGGAACCATAGAGGTCTTCTAGCCAATCCCTTCTTCTGTGCAGGAATCCACTCAACCCCAGTTTGGAAACCTCCAGTGAGGTAAAGCCACACCCCTTTTAGCAGATGGCTCCACAGTTTAACAGCTCTTCCAGCAGGACATTCCTCCTCCTGTTCAGCCCGAGTCTCTTTTCTTTTAATTTCTATGCATTGGCCTAACCTTGCTCTCATTTTCAGTAGAGAACAGAGGCATGTGATAACCTATTTAGATATGTGTAGCTTCAACCATCTCTCTCTGGCCCTCGGTCTTCCCTGCAAACCAAACCTGCCCTGCTTCTGATTCCAGAGCCTTGGTCATCCTGGGAGCTCACCTCTGAACTCATTCCAGATTCTCCAGTGCCCAGAACTGGACACAGAACTCAAAAGTGGCCTCAGCAGCCCAGGGGATGATGGAGCTCCTGGGGGCGTTTTCAGAATTCTCCCCTTGAGCATCCGGGGAGAGTCCAGAGTGATGGAACGAGGGTGAAGAAAATCACTCCCACCACCTCACTTGAAAAACACTTTCCAGAGAAACCTGAAATACATTTCCACTCCCTGTGAGGATCAGGAAGACGTCCATTTTTAAGGGGAAGGAAGCATGTTAGAAGTTTCAGGGCCGATGTTGATTCTCCAAAGTATCTCAGGTATATTTCTCCCCTGCAGGACACCTCAGATTACCTCCGGCCAGTCGCAATCGCAGTGAAGTTTGCACTGAGTGATGCTGAGCTGCCTGGACCTGTACTGGATGAGAAACTGCCCACCACTGCTAAGAAACTAGTGAGTGATACAGCCATGTGATATACACACACAAGCATGGATGTGTGACACAAACTGCACATTCAAGAAGTGGCAGAAGAAAGGCAAGTAGAAAACATTCTAATCACCTTTAGGCAAAAACAGTTCAGCAACCTGTGAATCTTGTACTAAGAGGTAGCGCTTGGACTCCTGTCCGCAGAATGTAAGCTGTTAGGTTAAAGACCTCAGCTGCTTACAATTAACAGGACTTTTGCAACACCTGAGCAGCTAGATTGGATCTGAGGTCTTGTGAGCAGGGCTGGTAGGAAAGATCTACACTGGAATTTGAAAACAGGAAAATACAGCCTTTAAATCCAATGCCCAGGGCATAGTGAATATGAAAGCTTCAGAGCCTGAAGGTAAACTGGACTTTCCCCTCTTAGATATTTCAAGGTGACAAGCATGTCTCTAATGCAGACATTTTTCTCTATAGGTTCAAACTAAAAAAGATGGATTGTGCAATCTTTTCAGTTCAATAGCAATAATTTCACTATACTTTGAGACAAATGCTATCATTTGTGATGAATTTTTTATGTTACCTAGGTTAGTCTAGTTTTGTTAGTAATGAAGAGGGATGAAGGGTAAAGGAAAATGCTGATACTCCTAGTTTGAGGCACTCCTATTCCTCAGGCCTCTGAGAATTAGAAACTTATCTTTAAAAAAGGCGAGGGAGGCAAAAACTCTACAGAATCGAGTAGTTGGCTGTTTTCCAGGTCCCCTTTTTCAAGGACTGTGGTGAGGATGATGAGTGTGTAACAGATCTGGTGCTACAAGCTGAGATGGATATCAATGGATCCAGGTAGGAATCTGATCCAAAATCTCTTGCAAGTTAGGCAAACATTTGATGGGGATCTTTTAAACTGGATGCTTGTACTGAGCAGGGATTTAAACTTGATGGCTTAAGTGGCCCCTTTCAACCCTAGGATTCTATGATTCCACCACCCGGGCACAACTCGAAAACCACTAACCAAAACCAAATTAGAATATTAATGTAGAGATGTTCTCAATAACACTTTTTGAAAGTGCATATAGTTCCATGGAATATAAACTATTGGTTGTTTGTGATCAGACGTAGAACTTTCTCACACTGATCTTAAAGCCTATGAGCTTTACGAAAATACAGATTGGCTAGAGGCTGGTGAATCATTAACCCATTTCTCTTTGCCTACAAGCCAAGACTGAGATCCTTGTTCTTTTTGCAAGCCACATGGTTGTCATCAATTTTCCTCATTCCAGGCAGAAGCCTCATGTCATCCGTAAAGGGAAGCGGAAGATGGTGGTTGATGTCCTTCTGGAGAACAAGAAAGAAAATGCCTACAACACCACCCTCCAGATCTGGTTTTCCAGAAGCCTCCACTTCTCCAGCCTCGTGCTGAAGGTATGGTGCCCCTAACCCTAAACAGAGTCATCAATGGGATGCCCAGCCAAGGGAGCCCACTCTGACCTCCACAGACAGACTTTCTAAAGAGGCTGGAAGTGCTCTTTACAACTTGGTGAAAGTGTAGCCTATGATATTACTTTGGTTATTTATATATAGAAAGAAGTTGCCTCTAATAACTGAAGTCCTAGCACGTCTATTTGACCATTCCTTGAGCATTACAGTACTTAGAAGCAAGATTTCAGTTGAACTTTGGAAGCAAATTCAGCCACTGTGGTTGGTAAACCATGACTTGTAGTCTATAGTGCTGTGTTGGCCCTGCAAGTTGTATTTCATTCATGGTTAAGCAGTGGTTTAGCTTGGTGTGCGAATCTAGTTACAGATAGCTTTGGTTTGGGATTATATTTTCAGTAATATGGAAACTCGAAATAAATAAAAAGAAGCACTGCCCAATAACTTCCCCCAGATGCTCATTTCAGTTTATTTTAGCTCTCTTCTTTCTCCCACAGGGGGAGAACCCAGTGAAAATGGAATGCTCCATTTCTTCTGCTCAGGCCCGGACATGCAGCGTGAGCTATCCTGTCTTCCGGTCCTTGGCAAAGGTGAGCAAACACAGGCCTTCTAGAGAGTCTGGGGGTGGTTGGTTGGAGGCTTCTTAGTTTAAGGGTAAAAAAGATGGGCATCCTTCTGGCATGTCTGCTTTAGGGCATCACATGATGCACTAAATGGATCTCAGTAGACAACAGCCACTTATGGGGAAAACGTTACTGCTCTCTCAGCACTTAAGGATAGCTCTCCTGCCTTTTTAAACCAGCTCACGGTCCTTCCTCCCTTCCATCTGGGATAATGTAAGGCATCATCGTCAGCTCTTTTTCCCTTGTTTTCTTTCCCAGGTGGCCTTTGCCCTTGAGTTTGAATTCAGCTGCTCCTCTCTTCTGAGCCAAGTGCAGGTGAAGCTTACAGCCAACAGGTGAGAACTGGGGGGCGGGGCATTACGAGAAGTCTGTGTGGACCTGTCACTTGCAGGCTAAATGTTGGAGAGTCAGGTTAATCTCACAAATAAAGAATAAGATGTTAGTCAAAGGGGGGGAAATAAAACTATCTACTACAAGAGGTGCAGACAGGCACAATGATTAATATTTGGAGGGATAGCAGAACCAGATATTGTAGGCAGAACCATGAAATAAAAAGGTAGAGCTTGGGGGTTTCTCCCCCCGCCCCAATTCTTATGAACTCAAACCATGTGGCTTATATGCGTTTATTACCCTGTTTGTACAATGGGCTGAGTTGAAGTGGCCCATCCTTAGTCAACAGAAAACTAGACCAGCCTGAGATCTGCTGTCCTCACTGCTGGTCCTTGACCTGTTTTAGCTACCTCTTTTCCAATCCCTCCGAGATGAGCATGATAAAAGGACCTTTCCTCAATGGCACCTGAGCTCAGCCCAGACAAGCATTGGGTGGCCTCCTTTTTCTGTTGCTTCATCTCATCCCAGCCATGAGTGAGACACCTTTAACCTTCCTGAGCTGCACTGATGTTTATGGGGCTGACCCGTTCTTCTGACCCCATAAGATGCATCCAATCCAAAAAGCTTGGTCACCCATGACCTTGGAGGGAAGCAAGGGACTGGCAGCTTCTGGGAATGGAGGCAGTGGGTTAAGAAAGGGACTGGCAAGAGGGGACACAGACCTAATGCCAGTGAAGCATTATATCAACTCAAGGATGGGTAAAGAGCACTTCAAAGCAGCAGCAGGGAAAGGTGCAAATGCTAACAGATTTGATTCACACACCTTGTGGCTTAAGGGGGAAACACTCTTTCAACACTAGCTCAGCTAAGAACGTCTTAAGCCCGTTCTCTCTTGGGCTGGGACAAGATTAAAGGCAACATCATGGGGACATGGCACAAAGACATCTGAATTATCTGATTTGCAGATTCCATGTCTCCATGGCTTGGTTTTTACAACATGTTCTTACTGTCTGGTGAAAAATAATACAGCAGCATTCACATGATATACTAAGCCCAGTTAGTTTAAACCCAGGCTAGTTTTATTATGGTTCAGCAGGTTGTGTGAACTCAGCAGCCTGTTTGGTTAGCTCATGGCTCAGTGCACTGTGAATCCCTTCAACAGGCTAATTTGTTCATCAAATTCTGCTATGATGCCAATTCATTTTCTGTGTGGGTGGAACTTGATCCACTCACAAGGCCTTATCTCAATTTCACATCCTCCAATTTCCCTGTAGATGAGAGAGAATTTGCTAGGGGGAGGGAACTGTGTTTGGCACACTTCCTTCCTTCCCAGTTTAGCCATGGTTCTGATCTTTTGGAAGTATTATAAAATATTATTGGTACACTGACTCATTTTCATATTGATTTCGGAGCAGCGTGTTGACCCTTGATGCTTCTCAGCTCAGGGGATCTTACCCATTTCCTCAACCCCCCAGGGACATGAGTCCAGAGGAGCTTTGGACCTCATTCCATCCCCTTCCCAGAGACTCCTGGCCAGATGTTGAGTGTGGCCTCCTCTCAGATGATCTTTTAGTGGAGACATCCCAGTGCCTTTCCCAGTCAGTCAGCATTAGCTTGCTGCACGTCCGGCTTGTCACGACAGGGCACTTTTAGCTGGTGCTGACTGAGGCCCATGGGTTGAACCTTCTGGTCTTCCTGACCTGCTCCTGCCTCCTGCTTGGGAGTAATTCCTGCTCTGCCACCCATCCTTTGGGGGTCACCTTCTCAGCATCCACCCCCTAAGTAGCCGGAATTAAACTTGAACTCATGAGCCTTTGGACTGTAAAAAGCCCCAGTTTTTCCTGTCTTGGGAAGGGCTTCCTCCAAGCCACTGACAAACGGTTCCTCCTTTCTTCGCTGCAGTGACAGCAGTGAGTCCAATCAAACCCTGACTGACAACACAGCCCGGGCTGCTGCCTTCGTCAGTTATGAGCCTGACCTGTTCCTGACTAGGTACGCTTGTGTGTGTGTCCCTGTTAGAGACAGAAAGACATGTCGGGCCTGCAGAAAAATGGTTAATTTATTTATTCATCAGGCCTTACTCATTATTTGTTATGTTTGTCCAGGACCACTCCACTATTGGGTGATTTATACTAAACAATAG